CTTCCTCAGCCAGGCGCAGGTGACCCTCGTGGCCGCTGAGCCTGCAGAATGGCGCAAGCCCTCAGAAGGAATCCACCCAACCCAGTGAATCTGGACACCTGGGCCCTGGTTTAGCACCACGTGGAGCTCACCTCACAAAAGACCAGAAGCGCAGAGAGGAGGCGCCAGATGCCCCAGCCAGGAGGACACAGGGCAGTGGGTATCTGCGTATGTTTGCTTTACCTTAAAAAGAAAAATAGTGGCTGGGCGTGGTAGCTCACGCCTGTAATCCCAGCACTTTGGGAGGCCCGCGCCCGGCCTGTTTTTTTTTTTAGAGTCAGGATCTCGTTCTGTCGCCCAGGCTGGAGTTCAGTGGTGTGGGGATCACGGCTCACTGCAACCTCCACTTCCTGGGGTCAAGTCATCCTACAGCCTCAGTCTCCTGAGTAGCTGAGAGTAGGTGCCCCACCACCACTCCTGGCTTTGTTTTTGGTAGAGACGGGGGTTTTACTATGTTGCCCAGGCTGGTCTAGAACTCCTGGGCCCAAGTGATCCTCCCGCCTCAGCCTCCGACAATGCTGGGGTCACAGGCGTGAGGCCCCCCGCACCTGGCCTCCTTTCCAGTGCTTATGTCTACAGTTGCCCCTCCTGGTCCGATTGGATTGGCAGATGTCGCCATATGATGTCAAATAGCGAGGAGCAGGGAGCGTTTTTGCTTTCTTCCGTCCTTGGTGGCAGCAGCTCGGTCCGGCTGCGGGGCCGTGCCCGTCTCTCAGACAAGGAAATTGGGGCCCGAGAGGTGAGCCGGTCCCAGAGGCAGGGCGAAGGGCAAGCGGGAGTGGGGTTTGCAGCGGACCCAGCCCTGCCTCCCCCCTGCAGGAGATCGTCAACTTCAACTGCCGGAAGCTGGTGGCCTCCATGCCGCTGTTCGCCAACGCTGACCCCAACTTCGTCACGGCCATGCTGACCAAGCTCAAGTTCGAGGTCTTCCAGCCGGGTGACTACATCATCCGCGAAGGCACCATCGGGAAGAAGATGTACTTCATCCAGCACGGCGTGGTCAGCGTGCTCACCAAGGGCAACAAGGAGATGAAGCTGTCCGACGGCTCCTACTTCGGGGGTGCGCTGGAGCGGGGCGCGCCTGGTGGG